TGAAGAACAAAAAGACAGCAACTTGTCTGTTCCCCTTCCCCAATTCCCCAGCACTGTTCCCATCCCCCAATTCCCCAATAAAAATCTTTAAAAAAGAAAAAGAAAAGAGGAACCTCAGACCTACAACTGGAAAAAACTGAATTCTGCTAACAGCTCCATGTAAGCTTGGAGGAAAATCCTGAGCTCAGGATGAGCACACAGCTTTGTGACACCCTGACCAGAGAACCCATCCACACTGAGCCTGGATTTCTGACTAAGGAATTGTGAGCAAATAAGTGGGTGTTATTTTGAGCCACTAAGTTGTGGTAATTTGTTACCCAGCAAAAGAAAACGAATACACAGGCTCAACTGTGCAACAAGTAAGCACACAGCATTCCTTCCACTGGAATGAATTTATAAACTGATGTACACACTAGTCTGTAATAAAATATTTTCTAACTTTGTATTTTTCAGATTATGGTTTTACATGTTATAAATTTTAAATAATTAATTCATTCATTCATTGAACAAATAAGTTAATGCCCACTCTATCAGAAATGGCTTCATATGCCTGAGATACTTTGACCTAAATAGCCAAAACCTCTGTGCTCATGTGCCTGACATTCTAGAAGCTTCCCAGAGTGAGAGGGAGCCACTGGAGTGTTTTTCATGAAGAAATGACACACCCTGACTCACATTAGCAAGATCGCTGATTCCTGTGGGGAGAATAGTCCTTGGCTGGCAGGTGAGGGGGTGGCGCTAATGTCACAATCAGGAGAGAGAGGGTGGTGGGGACTAAGGGGAGAAGAGGGCCTGAGGGGTGAGAGAGACAGAGAAGGGCTGGAGAAGCAGGGGGGAGGGGAAGAGGCAGAGGTGAAGAATTCTAAAGCAGTGGAACTCTCTGATTTAAATATGTTGTTTCATAGATCTTTAATAAATTACCTAGGGCCTAACAGGGTGTTCTGTAGAGCTGCCTAAAAACCAACCCCCTTCTGATGCTAATCAGCTTAAGAATAATAATGTGTCCCAATAAAATATACACACTGCTTATATGTAAAATAATAATAAAATCAGGCCATATAGGTAAACTGGTAAAGGCCATTTTAAGTGCATTCAGAACTTGCAACTTTGAGGTTGTACATGGGCTGGTTGGAAATACATAGAAACAAACTGCTTCCATGTGCTACTTTGTAATAAGGATGCGGGGACTCAACAAAGAAAGTCAGGGCTGTGGAATGAAGATCATTTTACAATAGAAACATCCAGAGTCACAGGTGTACCCTCTGGTAAAGTAAGATTTAGGAGCTTTGAGAGTATGACTGCCATGCTGTTTAGACACATTTCTGTACCAAAGGACCCAAATCACGATTTTACAGATTAGCTTCCTGATGATCAGGGGTTTCCAAGATTGTCACCCCCTGTAGTTAATAAACAATGAGGAGACTGGGCTCTGTGAGAATCTCTAGCTGGTGTTTCAGGCTCAGGTTCTCCAGGATTAGAGAGAAAAGCCCTGTCCTTCCTCTAGTCCCAGGGCGAGCTCCCTCTTGGCACCAAGTTTCCTGGGGTGTCTTCTTCCAGGAGGGTCCAGGGGGAGAGGGAAAGGGTGGGAGGCAGGGCGTCCATTTCAGGGAGAGGGATTCCGGGGAGAGAAGAGGAGGGAAAGGGACTGAGCCCAGCCTGGTTTCCTCAGGCCAGGACTCAGGGAGACAGCGTGACACAGGCTCGGTGCCGGAGGAGGCGTCGGGGCACAGTCCCGGGTCCCCCAGGGCGGAACCTGGGGCGGGGAGCTCAGTGTTGGGGAGTCCCCACCTCCCCGCGGTTTCACTTCTTCTTACAACCAGTGTCGGGTCCTTCTGTCTGGAAACTCATGACGCGGCCCCAGTTCTCACTCCGGTTATAAAGTCCCCACGGAACCGCCCGCAAGCAGATCGTCCCCAGACCCCGAGGACGCGCATCATGGGCCCCGGGACCCTCCTCCTGCTGCTCTCGGGGGCCCTGGGCCTGACGGGGACCCGGGCGGGTGAGTGCGGGGTCGGGAGGGAACGGCCTCCACGGGGGGAAAGCGAGGGGACCGCCCGGTGGGGACGCAGGACCCCGGGGAAGATGTGTCCCCACCGCCCCGGCCCCGTGTCCCGCCAACTCCTGTCGCCCACTCGGGTCTCCCGCCCCCTCCCCCTCAGTCCCGCCCCTTTTCCGCCTCCCGGGCCCCCGCCCCCTCCCGGCCCGTCGCCCTCGGACCCGGGACCCGCGCCGGGAGGAGGGTCGCCCGGGTCTCAGCCCCTCCCTGTCCCCAGGCTCCCACTCCCTGAGGTAT